TCAATTGTAACTGGTGACACATTCCGCCCAGACCTACTTCTATCTATCAACTCGGATTGTCTCTATATCCTTGAACTTTCTGTTGGCTATGAGTCTAATCTACAAACAAATGTTGATCGGAAAAGAAGAAGATACGAAGATCTCAGATTAGGTTTATCTTGCTATTTGTTGTCTTTGTCTTTGATTAAATGACGAAATACCTCGTATTTTCCAAATGTGTTAGCATTCTATATAAAAAGTGCTGTATATAGAGTAGTTTTGCTAACCGAGCTTGAGAACATTTTTTAGAATTGTTCTTTTTTGCAAATGTTTCGGACTTTGTACTTTGCCTTCGCGTGACCTTTTTTCCCCATTTTTTACAAACGTACAATCCCATATATAAAAAACTTACTGACCTCAACCGTTCGTACGGATATTTTCCCGTACTGCCCTCGCTCTGAGTCAGTAAGTTATTATTAGTTAACTTCATAATTATATTTACGTCTCTTTTTTTAATTAATTAACTAACAAAAAGGGAACATTTGGAGAAAAACCTATAAATCTGTGTCTACATACTTTAATTGTAGTTTTGTTTCACATGGTGCCTATAATTCCTGCGAAAAAATTTACAGCATTTCGCATTACGAAAACGCATTCAAAATATTCTAGTCCTGAAAAACATTGTAAAATTTGCCTTGGATTTTCGACTGACGCCAACAAAACAACCGCAACAGTTACTCCTTTCCGTATTTTAGGTTTATCTTGCTTCATTTTAACATTTTGGAAGACTTTTAGAACTTCCGTATTGTCCATGCATGGGCTGAATACAAGTAAATTTTGCTTCGTTGCATGCCAGCCAATTAAATTGCACGATTCATGAAATCAAATACTTGCCATTTTAATATTATTTGTTAAATTTAATACATCAAAATAAGAAACAGTTATGAATATCTGATACACATCTAACAACCAAAGGACTGGAAACTCATACCAAACTGTAAAATTCAGAAACTCCTGCCGTGAATTTATGAATCAATTAAGTGAATGTTCTCTTACCTGGTCTGAGGCCAAAATCTCCAGATGACACAGAAAATCCCTTGGCTCTTGCATGATAAAAGTCTTCATTTGATGACCAATACGGCAGGCTGCGGTTTCTACCCGCATGGCTTGCTGTGAACACACTTTCACTTGAAAAAGACAATGTCGTGATTCTATCCGCTGAATGATAAAGCTCTTCATTTTGTGATCTGTATGATCTACGCAAAGAACGTCCTAATGGAAGTTAATTGTTAATTTAGTACATCACTATAAAAAAATTAGAAAAATTGTGAAACTCCTGTCCGAACTGCAAGATTAGAAAACTTCTGTTGTAAACATGAAATAAGTAGAAGTGCCTGATATACGTCTGGAAATAAAAAAAAAATTGAAAATCTTATGAAAACTGACCTGCCAGAGATTTGCCAGGCGCAGAACGAATTCTTGTGATAAATATGAGAACACAACATATAACTTTTAACAAAGCCATTAAAACAGTTAAGATTTTAAAGAATTTTTATTGTAACGTTTCGCCTTTAACTTAACGCTTCGTCTTTTACTTTATGACCTATTTTACCGGCCATCTTAGTGAAAGTTTTTACCTGGTCTGGCGAAACTCTTTGCACTCAAAACAAACTCATGAAATACATAGCTAACATTTATATTTATTTGAGTGCATATAGTGTGCATTTTAAAGTCACTGCGTGTTTATATGTGTAAGAGCGTCTCTTTTAAAGAACGAGACAAACTCACGAAATACATAACATTTATATTTATATGAGTGTATAGTGTGCATTTTAAATCACTGCGTGTTTTACATAATATTGATGAGTGTAGTGAACATATATTTCAGATATTCATACAACTGAAGAGTTACTTTTGTCTTGAAGAGGAGGAATGAACATATAGCTATATTTGAGATGAAGATTCATAATTTATTATGTCACTTGCGGCGTGAAATTTCACTAGTTTAATTATTAACGAGTCGTACGAAATTCATAGTTTTATTAATTTTAATGGCTAAAGTACAAGTCGTGAATCACAATTTTCGAATTTCACAAGCTGTTGAATGTGACGAGTCGTGAAATTCCAAGAATTTAACGAGTCGTACGAATATTGTGAAGGCCTTACTAATGGCTATAAACCACGACTCGTGAATCACGACTTTCGAATTTCACGAGTCGTTGAATGCGATAGTATTGGACATGTTTGTCGAGGAGGAAACTTCTATTAAAACTGCAAGATTTGAAAATTTCTGTTGTGAATTCATGACCTGTCTTAGTGAAAGTTTCTTACCTGGCACAAAGGAAAGATTTCCACACGAAGAAGACAATTCCTTGGCTGTTTTTGCTGAATAATTAAATGGTGATTCATGCTGAGGATTATCTAAAGGAAGAAATTCAAAGCAGCATTATGTTTAATATTATTTATTAAATTTAGTAATCACTATAAGAAACAACTCCAGTGTTTGATACACATCTAACAAACCAAAGGACTGGAAACTCCTGCCAAACTGGAAGATTTAGAAACTCCCGTCGTAAACATCATATTCATGTCTCTTTTTATATTAATAAAAAAGAAACTTTCGAAAAAGAAGTATAAATCTGTGGGTACTTTACTGGTATTTTTGTTTCACGTGATCTCAAATTCCTTCTGACCCAAAGGATGATTCGAGCTATAGACTAAATTTTGATCCAGATAAGAAGAACGAAATCTATCATAATGGCAAAAACGATCATCCCTAAATTAGTAAAACTGACAAGTTTGATTGCAAAAAGTTGTAAAATATGGAAAATATAACCATGTGAAATTAGCAAATTTTGAGTATTTCAGTATTACGCGCGGAAAAATGCACCACTTTCGGCTCAAAAGTGGTTCATTTTTCCGCGCGTAATACTAAAAAATACTCAAAATTTCCTAATTTCACAGGGCTTACTTATTTAAATTAATGTGCTTGATACTATTATGTCTGAGCTGACTTACAAACAGGTTGTCTGGAAAACGCGTGCACGTACACGCGTACACGTACACGCGTACACGTACACGCGTACATGGAAAACGCGTACATGGAAAACGCGTACATGGAAAACGCGTACATGGAAAACGCGTACATGGAAAACGCGTACATGGAAAACGCGTACATGGAAAACGCGTACATGGAAAACGCGTACATGGAAAACGCGTACATGGAAAACGCGTACATGGAAAACGCGTACATGGAAAATGCGTACATGGAAAACGCGTACATGGAAAACGCGTACAATGTTTATTTGTAACGTTAATTAATTAAAACTTGGCGATTTTATTGGAAGTTCTCTTGCAGACCTAGTGATTGTGTCAATGATGGTCAGATCATGGCCTCCGTGAAAGACAACTTCACAGTGGACTACGTAATGTTTAGTACTTTCATTGTGTTCCAACATGCGTCCAGAAAAAGCAGCCGTATTTCCAACCACCTCACGCTATTATCCCATGCACGTAAGATAATGTCGATAATGTCACTTCTCCGCGATGAACATTGGAGATATATTAATCACACATTCGGAAGCCTCGCAATCCAATAAAGAAACATTTAAAACTATGCACTGACGCTTACAGACTGATTATCTATTATTTTAAATTGTTAAGGTTTTCTTTAGCATATAGTTTATTTATCATTTATAGACCCGAAGCGAGAGGGATTCGGCGAAATATTACCCGAAGTGATGATATTTATTTAATATTTGAAATATCATCACTGAGGGTAATGTTTCGGCGAATCCCCCAAGGGTCTATAAATGATATATTATACCGAAGGTAAAAGACAGCACTATAATAAGTTCAGAATAAACTTTAAAACTTGCTGAATATTAACTATAAAGCGAATACAATTTTTAATTTCTTATGTATACCTGTGTTTTGACGTTTTCTCTTTAAAATATTTGAGCATGTATTCTTTGGATTATTGAAAGTAACGTACGTCTTAAAAATTTTTGGTTACAGTAAATCAATAAATCTGCATGTACGCGCCTGTACGAAATTACAAACAACAGCTCGCGAATGCCATGTTCTTTAAGAGTGTGCATGGTATCCTTACTATAATATCCACCACAGTGGATCTCACGCTGCATTGCGAAATCATGAATTTGAGTGAAATACCGCAAAAAAAACACATTGTCACGTAGTACAAATGCTATTCTTTTATAGGACAATTTGAATTTGATTTATAATATATTTTATATATAGACACTTAAGCTCTCTGGCTCTGTTGTGTTGTGCTAAAACTCACGCAACCTTGTATATGTCAAGTTTACTTTTAGAACTTTTTTATAACTATAAATGTATTGAAGGAAAGAATTAGATAATATTATAAAATGTTCAAAATGCCAAGAGTTCAAAATAGAGGAAAAAGAAATTTGTTTTTGAATTTTTTTAAGTTTGTCCTGATTTTCCAAATCCCCCTCCCTCCCCCTCGGCTCGACATTCTTTGTGAATGGCCCCTTAGTTTGATCTAATCATGTTATATCACCATGTCGTGCTACGGCATGTAAAGTTAGCCTAGTTTATGTCTTAGACCTAATTTAATAAGGGTTTGGGGTTGCGTTGCGTTATGTTATTTAAAATTACATTAGGTCGCCCTACATCGTCCACAGTTATAACTGTCCACAGTTGCTAATGGTGAGCAGGACAACAGATGCTATATGTACTTGTCGGGGCAATTTTTGCAAGTAAAAATGTAAATAGCGTTATGTTTTTCGGTTACATTTGTTTTGTCTTTATGATTATAGTAAACTTGGATCCCCGTTTGCATGTTGGTTAGATCCAAGTTTAATTACTAATCATAAAGACAAAACAAATGTAACCGAAAAACATAACGCCATTTACATGTTTACTTGCAAAAAATTCAAAAATTGCCCCGACAAGTACATATAGCATCAGAGATAGCATCTACAGACTCTACAGTGTCTGCTCACCATAAGCAACTGTGGACAGTTTATATAACTGTGGACGATGTAGGGCGACCTAATGTAATTTTATATAGCATAACATATTAACATAACATGACATGAGATGACATGACATGACATGACCGGCCCAAACCCTTATTAAATTAGGCGTAAGTATAAACTAGGCTAACTTTACATGCCGTAGCACGACATGGTGACATAACATGATGAGATCAAACTAACACAACAGAGCCAGAGAGCCTAACTGTCTATATATAAAATATACTAGGAGTTACTATCGCAAAGAAATTGCTGCCTCGCCCCTAAGGGATCAAAGCCAGGCAGCATGCAGGATTCGCTGAATAAGGGGCTGAACACATTTATATGATCCTACTTTGCCAGGACAAGTTGTGAGGCAGGATTATTTTTGATGTATTGAAATAAATTATGGTGCACGATTCAGCAAAAAACTACATAGTTAACTGTAAACTAAAAGCAATAAAATATATTATACCTCAAATTGAAATTGTCCTATAAAAGAACAGCATTCGTAACACGTGACAATGTGTTTTTTTACGGTATTTCACTCAAATTCATGATTTCGCAATGCAGCGTGAGATCCACTGTGGTGAATATTATAGTATCTCACGCTCACACACGACGAAAGGATACCATGCACACTCTTAAAGAACATGGCATTCGCGAGCTGTTGTTTGTAATTTCGTACCGGCGCGTACATGCAGATTTATTGATTTACTGTAACCAAAAATTTTTAAGACGTATGTTACCTTCAATAATCCAAAGAATACATGCTCAAATATTTTAAAGAGAAAACGTCAAAACACAGGTATGCATAAGAAATTAAAAATTTTTATCGCTTTATAGTTAATATTCAGCAAGTTTTAAAGTTTATTCTGAACTTATTATAGTGCTGTCTTTTACCTTCGGTATAATATATCATTTATAGACCCTTGGGGGATTCGCCGAAACATTACCCTCAGTGATGATATTTCAAATATTAAATAAATATCATCACTTCGGGTGATATTTCGCCGAATCCCTCTCGCTTCGGGTCTATAAATGATAAATAAACTATATGCTAAAGAAAACCTTAACAATTTAAAATAATAGACAATCAGTCTGTAAGCGTCAGTGCATAGTTTTAAATGTTTCTTTATTGGATTGCGAGGCTTCCGAATGTGTGATTAATATATCTCCAATGTTCATCGCGGAGAAGTGACATTATCGACATTATCTTACGTGCATGGGATAATAGCGTGAGGTGGTTGGAAATACGGCTGCTTTTTCTGGACGAATGTTGGAACACAATGAAAGTACTAAACATTACGTAGTCTACTGTGAAGTTGTCTTTCACGGAGGCCATGATCTGACCATCATTGACACAATCACTAGGTCTGCAAGAGAACTTCCAATAAAATCGCCAAGATTTAATTAATTTCCGTTACAAATAAACATTGTACGCGTTTTCCATGTACGCGTTTTCCATGTACGCGTTTTCCATGTACGCGTTTTCCATGTACGCGTGTACGTGTACGTGTACGCGTGTACGTGCACGCGTTTTCCAGACAACCTTACAAACATATTTGGAAGGATTTCAATGAGTATCGGCGATAAACAGCGTAGTAAAGTGGTGAATTTGGCCAAATACGTCCATTTGCAGGAGGTAGGTACATTTCAAATTGTTATAGCGGTAACAAAATATTAACTATTTTACATGAAAATAGTGATAATATACTTAGATAAGTACAAACTATGTTTCTATCAAAAATATTTTGGAAAAAAGGCAATGTTGGTTCATTGCTGTTAATCTGAAGTTGTAAGCTACAAATTGACATTTATTATGAGTATTGCATGGTCATTTTGTTGTGAAATTTCAGTGCTAGGCATTTCACACTTGCCAATGACCACCCCTAGAAGCACCATCTCTGAACCATATAAGCACCTCAGAATAGCCAAAGCTTTTATCGTTCGGTGGATAGCAGTATGGCAAAAGCGTCGTTTTTGGACGTGGTCGGTTTCGGACGGTTCGTCCCTTATT